CAACAGCATTAGGTATCACAAAGACTTTTTCTGGTGGCAAACCTGACCGTAGCACCGTGTTTTCCTTGCTTGTATGAGAAACACAAATGGCCTGACTTACTTCTGCCAATGTAAATTGCAATACCTTGTTCATGTGTATACTTCCCGCATCAGCAAAACCATAGAGTGAATGATCAGTAAATACGACCTTGTACCCCATTGTGCGTGCATGCATCAAAGCCTCATGGCAAAGAGTTGAGAAAGCTTGATGTCCATGTACCAGGGATATTTTCTCTCGAATAAGGATAGTCCTTACTATTGGAAGTGTCCCATAAAAGGTTGGAAAAGTATTCTGCATAAGAAACGGTTTCCATGGTACATAATACACTTTCAACCCGCATTTGATATTGCAATGGTTTTTATATCATCTTCGTTAACGCATGAGCTTCCTCTATGATTCTCCAATCCCATCAATCGATTTTCCCACCTCCTAGCAAGTATCTTAGAGTGAAAAACTTGGAATTTGTATCCCTTTCATTCAGCCACTGGACCCTCGACATGAGTTTCCAATACACCTCCTTCTCTTGAAGCGCACCTTTAACATTGAGTTTCATTTGCAAAACATTGTCACGGTCAAAATCTAGAGCGAGGTAAGCATTCTTCAACTGTTGCCTTAACAAATCAATGGTTGCCTTAGAACTCCTCCACTCCTTCCTCTGCCAATTCAGTAAACCCTTTCGTACCCAAATTAATTTGTCTGAAATTTGAGACCCCTGCGATCCATGAAACTGTCGTCCCTACCTTTCTTCCACTACTTTATGACAACCCTCAGCATCTCCCCAATGCGGATCATAAATAAACATTTTTCGCCATTTTTGAGTTGGAGCCTGAGTTTATAGCATAAGCATAACATGATCAGATCATGTCACCGCCACATGATGCAGCATTGTTGCTAGAAACAAAGCCATCCATTGATCAGTCCCCAACCCCTATCCAAACGTTTCATTATTCCTCCATGTGAAGGGATGACCCACATACCCCAAATCCAAGAGGTGGCTATTTAATGCAAACATGCGACAATCTTGCAACACATGGTTTCTCCTTTGAGTACTTCTCGACAAGTCTTCGCCCTTTCTAAGCAAATAAGCTAAGAGCCCTTCTTGAACACACCCTTGCACCGTGAAACAAAAGTCAAGCCTATCAGAAAACTAGGGCCATCAACAACACAAACCCTAGCCGCCTTGCAAAAACCCTAGCATAATCACCTCTTCATTCGAGAAAGTCGTCCTATGTTTTTTTATTTGTTTAAAAATTTCAAGTTGATGTGAGACTCTTTTCCATTTTTTTTTCTTCCTAGAGTCATCCTAAACCATTTTATTAAGCCTAGTCAAACGATACGATTCTTTTCCATTTCAATTGAAATAGTCCAATTCAGTCCCGCTCACCAAACATGGCCTTAAGCGGAATAGAAACAAAAAGTTTCACCCAAATAAAAATAGGGGAAATTTGCATAAATACCACATAAACTTTTACTCATGTGCATACTTACAACATGAACTTTTTAAAGTATTGCAATGTACCACATACGTCTAACTTTGTTAAAACTTTCCGTTAAGTTTAAAGGCATTTATGTCAATTCCCTATAACTAAAACACTTATGGTGTGTTTGGATGCGGTAAAATAACTCGGGATTTTAATAAAAGTCGGGATTTGGAGCGTGGAAAAGGGAAAGTTCAGCTTTTGGCAAAATCAACTCAGGATTTGCCAAATTACAAGCAGAAAATATCATGGGAATTGCACATCTAAAATCCCGAGTTAAAATTCCATGGTAATATGCGGAATTGTACAATTCCCAACAGAAAGGGAATTTTCATCTTCTGCTCGCTCGATAACCTATCTTCTGCCCGCCAAAATTTTCATCTTCTGCGTACCAAAATTTCAGGAATAACCTATTTTCTTCAAAGAGAACCAGCCTGCGCGCCATGGGTATTCTCTTGATGGTGTTCTGCTAAGTTTTCTGGTGAGTTTCAGTTTGCAATTTCTTTCCTTGTCATTGGCCTCTTTTTTGTCTGCTATATTGATTTTTTTCATCTGTGGAACCAGGGTTTTGCTTTTATTTTATTTCTCCTCTCTGTCTTTCAATCTGACAAGAATATTTGCTCTTCCAATCAAGGTAAGAGTCTTAACTATCTAGACTCATCTTTCTATGTTCTTCCCAGACTCATCTTTCTCTGATCTTCCCATGTCTGTACTTGCTAATTTTGAGTTATCTATTTTTCCTTTTTCGGTTAATTGAATTTTATTTACAAGATAATAATTCTATGTTCTTCTCCTTGTGCTTTCCCCTGCTATGTGCTTAGTTGTGCTTTGTGTTATATTTGTGTTTGTATTGATAGTATTGTTGATTAGTTGGAATCGAAAGCAGTTGCTATCACGTTCTAGGAAGGAATAACAAGCCATGTACTTAAGTTTCATCAAGTCTCCTTTTTGAAGGTAATTTATAATGCAATTATATCTTTTTGATTGACTAAAATTGTGGTAAATAAATGGTTAACTTTGATTTTCTGCTTGATAGTCTCATGAAGATGTTAGAACTTTTTGATTTAAAGTGATTGCAAACTGGGATGATATAGTGGATTTATGTGGCAAAGATAGAGCTACTGGAGAGGGTGCTGAAACATGTGCAGAAGCTGCTGAGGTTATGACTCCTGAGAGTGATCCCAATATTATTGTTGATTTGGAAAGTGATACTCAAGGTTTTGAGAATTGTCAGGTTCACAATGTTTCACCCAGCTCTAGTTGTCCAAAGAGAAGAAATCAAAAACCTTCTGATATTCCCCTACCAAAAAAAAGAGGTTGATTGAATGCTAATTAACCATATTAATAAATACATCCAATGATGTTATGCTCCAATCCACACTCAACGTTTTCTTTATATCAAAAGCATCCCCCTTAGGTTAGGCCTTCACACATCAAAATTGTTTTGCACTTAATGCTGACAAGTGATGAATATATGATCATCTCAATATACAATCGCAGAATTATTGGCGCACACATTCAAGTCCTTTCCAATATTAAAATTCATTACACAGAATGAGCAAACATGATAAGAAACGTAATATTTTCATTGAATGCTATGTGAAAACAACTCACATTGGGGTATAAACGGCATACTTCTGGAATGACTTCAACGAGAAGATCTGCACCCTTTCGGTAAACCAATCTACTTATAACAACAATTACAATTTCATGACTACTCAGGCGCTTTGGTGCGGGCTTGAACATAGCTGTGTCAACAGCATTAGGTATCACAAAGACTTTTTCTGGTGGCAAACCTGACCGTAGCACCGTGTTTTCCTTGCTTGTATGAGAAACACAAATGGCCTGACTTACTTCTGCCAATGTAAATTGCAATACCTTGTTCATGTGTATACTTCCCGCATCAGCAAAACCATAGAGTGAATGATCAGTAAATACGACCTTGTACCCCATTGTGCGTGCATGCATCAAAGCCTCATGGCAAAGAGTTGAGAAAGCTTGATGTCCATGTACCAGGGATATTTTCTCTCGAATAAGGATAGTCCTTACTATTGGAAGTGTCCCATAAAAGGTTGGAAAAGTATTCTGCATAAGAAACGGTTTCCATGGTACATAATACACTTTCAACCCGCCTGTCATATATCTCACCCCAGAACGATTGTTGTAGGCATGAGTCATTACCACCACCTGAACAATCAAACAATGAAAGTTCATCCAGTCAACAACTAATAGAACAAAGGAAGCTGATTTGTGTCACGAAATATTTTCATTTTTTCATATCTCAAAACACTTGGCAACTCAGATGTTCCAATTATATTAAAACAACTACAAGTATACAGCAATATATAATCTGGCACCCACCCCCATCTCTAGATCCTCCACTCCTTCCTCTGCCAATTCAGTAAACCCTTTCGTACCCAAATTAATTTGTCTGAAATTTGAGACCCCTGCGATCCATGAAACTGTCGTCCCTACCTTTCTTCCACTACTTTATGACAACCCTCAGCATCTCCCCAATGCGGATCATAAATAAACATTTTTCGCCATTTTTGAGTTGGAGCCTGAGTTTATAGCATAAGCATAACATGATCAGATCATGTCACCGCCACATGATGCAGCATTGTTGCTAGAAACAAAGCCATCCATTGATCAGTCCCCAACCCCTATCCAAACGTTTCATTATTCCTCCATGTGAAGGGATGACCCACATACCCCAAATCCAAGAGGTGGCTATTTAATGCAAACATGCGACAATCTTGCAACACATGGTTTCTCCTTTGAGTACTTCTCGACAAGTCTTCGCCCTTTCTAAGCAAATAAGCTAAGAGCCCTTCTTGAACACACCCTTGCACCGTGAAACAAAAGTCAAGCCTATCAGAAAACTAGGGCCATCAACAACACAAACCCTAGCCGCCTTGCAAAAACCCTAGCATAATCACCTCTTCATTCGAGAAAGTCGTCCTATGTTTTTTTATTTGTTTAAAAATTTCAAGTTGATGTGAGACTCTTTTCCATTTTTTTTTCTTCCTAGAGTCATCCTAAACCATTTTATTAAGCCTAGTCAAACGATACGATTCTTTTCCATTTCAATTGAAATAGTCCAATTCAGTCCCGCTCACCAAACATGGCCTTAAGCGGAATAGAAACAAAAAGTTTCACCCAAATAAAAATAGGGGAAATTTGCATAAATACCACATAAACTTTTACTCATGTGCATACTTACAACATGAACTTTTTAAAGTATTGCAATGTACCACATACGTCTAACTTTGTTAAAACTTTCCGTTAAGTTTAAAGGCATTTATGTCAATTCCCTATAACTAAAACACTTATGGTGTGTTTGGATGCGGTAAAATAACTCGGGATTTTAATAAAAGTCGGGATTTGGAGCGTGGAAAAGGGAAAGTTCAGCTTTTGGCAAAATCAACTCAGGATTTGCCAAATTACAAGCAGAAAATATCATGGGAATTGCACATCTAAAATCCCGAGTTAAAATTCCATGGTAATATGCGGAATTGTACAATTCCCAACAGAAAGGGAATTTTCATCTTCTGCTCGCTCGATAACCTATCTTCTGCCCGCCAAAATTTTCATCTTCTGCGTACCAAAATTTCAGGAATAACCTATTTTCTTCAAAGAGAACCAGCCTGCGCGCCATGGGTATTCTCTTGATGGTGTTCTGCTAAGTTTTCTGGTGAGTTTCAGTTTGCAATTTCTTTCCTTGTCATTGGCCTCTTTTTTGTCTGCTATATTGATTTTTTTCATCTGTGGAACCAGGGTTTTGCTTTTATTTTATTTCTCCTCTCTGTCTTTCAATCTGACAAGAATATTTGCTCTTCCAATCAAGGTAAGAGTCTTAACTATCTAGACTCATCTTTCTATGTTCTTCCCAGACTCATCTTTCTCTGATCTTCCCATGTCTGTACTTGCTAATTTTGAGTTATCTATTTTTCCTTTTTCGGTTAATTGAATTTTATTTACAAGATAATAATTCTATGTTCTTCTCCTTGTGCTTTCCCCTGCTATGTGCTTAGTTGTGCTTTGTGTTATATTTGTGTTTGTATTGATAGTATTGTTGATTAGTTGGAATCGAAAGCAGTTGCTATCACGTTCTAGGAAGGAATAACAAGCCATGTACTTAAGTTTCATCAAGTCTCCTTTTTGAAGGTAATTTATAATGCAATTATATCTTTTTGTATGACTAAAATTGTGGTAAATAAATGGTTAACTTTGATTTTCTGCTTGATAGTCTCATGAAGATGTTAGAACTTTTTGATTTAAAGTGATTGCAAACTGGGATGATATAGTGGATTTATGTGGCAAAGATAGAGCTACTGGAGAGGGTGCTGAAACATGTGCAGAAGCTGTTGAGGTTATGACTCCTGAGAGTGATCCCAATATTATTGTTGATTTGGAAAGTGATACTCAAGGTTTTGAGAATTGTCAGGTTCACAATGTTTCACCCAGCTCTAGTTGTCCAAAGAGAAGAAATCAAAAACCTTCTGATATTCCCCTACCAAAAAAAAGAGGTACAACTAATGTTCTTGCTGATTCAGTGGCTAAAATGGCTTCATCTTTGGAATACTTTATCAATTCTACTACACAAAAGCTTGATCCAATAGAAGTATATAATGAAGTCATTGCAATTCCAGATCTTAGTCCAGATGAACAACTGAAGGCATGCTCTTGATTTATAGAAAATGAGAAACAATTTCTCATGTTAAAGACAATTCCAACTGAGAGAAAGAAGGGAATGGTGTTGATGTTTATTTCACCAAGAGCATAGACACATTTTATATTCAGTTGACATCTTTAAGTTTTGTTATTTTTGTTGAACATTGGTTGGGGTGATTAGCTTCATTTTTTTAATTACGTGATTTATGCTTTTTTAAATTAGACAAGCTACAGTTGCAATTCTTTACATTAGTAACAATTGAGGTATGTGCTTCGTTTCACTTGGAGTTTTTTGATATAAAAAAAACCGCAAGTTTTTGTTTTTTTTTTTCCCTTACCTTTATTAATATATTAACACTTAAGCTTAAGCCAAATGTCAGCTTTACATTACATGAAACAACACGCCAATGTTAAAGAAAATTTTGTTTTAAGCCAGTTGAGGTGTAAAAGAATTTTAAAAAAAGATTTTTTGTTTCCACTCTCCTCAGTTGTTTTCCCAGGTAAAATACTAAAATGTTTATGCTTATCAATTTGTAGATTATTTTTCATGTATAACTTATAATTTTTTTATTCAGAAAAGTTTAGGGAGGGAGAGGTTACCCTAACACCCAGGTTCAAGGTAAATTCCAGACCTTTTCGAATTTACAGAGGAATTTACATATTACTTACCAAACACGAAACTATTGGCAACGAAACTCGAACACTGATGGAGCAACATATAGTGCAGGGATCTTACCAACTAAACCAACCCGTATTGGCTTATAATTTGTAACTTAAGAGCTGGCTTTCTAACCTATACAAATGTTTGATGGAGACACATTGTAATTGACATAGCTGAAAAGAAAGAAAAAAAAACTTTGCTGCAACTTGTGTTGGCATCAAGTGCTTGAACAGCAATCAAAATCTAGAAAATACAAAACCATTATTTTGGCAAGTGAATTATTCTTTATAGCATAGCATAATCATAAGAATATTGAATGTTTCATCAACTTTGATTTGATCTGAGTGGATTTCAGAATTGTATGTTGAGTTGTAAGAATGGTAGGTTACATATCCTGTTTTTAGTTATGTTTGACTTTTGAACAATCTCACTATATTTTGCCCCAACAAATGGAGAAAAATAAAATCCGACTGTGGGTTGTTGATTGGGGCCAAATATCCTCATTCTTTTTCCCTTCCTTACAATTGCATATGTATGTACCATCTTGATTCTTGATTCTTGATTCTTGATTCCTGATGATGTTTTCTTTTCCATTATGGTTTATGCAAATACATTACATTCACCAATTTTTATAGGCAAAGCCCATTTTGGAGCATGCTCTAAGTATTCTTGCTTACTTTTTTTATATCCTCCTCCTTAAATGTAAGAAATCAAGTTAATCAACACTTGTCGCTGATTAGCCACCCACTAACCCATTATTAACTTACATATGCAATCCAAAAGTAAGTGTTGAAAATCATCCCTAGTTTGCCAAATTTGCAGGGTTTATTGCATTAAATTCCATTGATTTCGAATCCCCAAATCAAGCAGTTCATTGCAGACTGCAGAGAAAGCCTCAGTTCTGTAACCTTGTACAAATAAATAATAATGACTCAATAAATTCAAGAAAAAGCAGTGCTTTCAAAAAAAATCAGAGAGAGAGAGAGAGCTGATAGATAGGCAGATGTGGAAGGGAAAGTATTATTTGGCAGCAAAAAGAGATTAGAAAGTTTGGTCTGTCTAACAAAATCTGACCTCTTTTATATGGGTTAGAACGTTTGGTTGGTCCTCATTGGGGTTTACGTTTGCAGCCGGTAATCTTCTCACAGACAATACAAAATCTACCGGTCAATCCCAAACAAACAAACCCCTCCCATCCCAACTATAAGCCCCAGTGCAGCCATTGCATTGGTTCTTGGGTGGTGCAACTTGTCACCACCAACACCTGAATGGCACGTGTCCTTCCCTCTAAAACCCAGGGGTGCTTATAGCATGTGGGAGATACTGAAAAATATTGAAAGAGCTTTCTACTACATGAAGTTTCTTCTTCTGCCTTTTTCAAGTTTCAACCTTATTTTTAATCTTTTTTCGAGTCACTAAGATTTCCATGACCCCATTTGATCATTGTGCGCTCATAGAGCAATGGCATTTGTGCGAAAAGGCTCAAACTCAGGCACCAAACAGCTTTAAGGTAAGCCATCAACAACTTTCATTCAGCTTCTTTTCTTTTGTTCTTCGTAAAATGAAATGGTTTCGGAATCTACAACGAAAAATGGTCTGTTGCTTTCGTCTGTGAAGAAACGCGGTTGTTCCAGTTTGTGAAATGTTCAAGTATTTTTTGCAGTTGAGTTGTTTATGCATGGGGTAGCTTTTGCTTGTTTGGCTTCCTATACATGGTTTATTATGGATTTTTGGATGTCCTTGTTCTCAAATTTTGTAGCAAATGCGCACTCTGTTTCCTCTGTTTACTCTGTTTCTATGTTGGTTTTTTCTTTTATGAAAACGAGCAAGCAAACTGTCACGATACATTCCCTCGTTGTTCTTGTTTGTAGGTAGTTTTAGATTTGGGGGTTCTTATTTTCCTTAATTTGCATTAGCATTTGCAAGGCATCTTAGAGGTAGGGAGAAAATTACAGGGTTTGTCTTTAATCATATTCATATTACCAGGTAAAAATAAAATCCAAGTGAAAGAAAATCATATGATCATATTTCAAAGTGGCGATATTTAAAAGGAAAATTATATTTCACCTCATTATATAATTAATCATATTTAAAAGTTTAACAAGAGCAATATATAAGTAGCATGAAAGAGTGAGTTCAATTCATTCAACCCAACCCCATTGGAGGACGCATTTGAAATACAAGTACCATGCCCCTGACCCACAATAAGACAAACTTCCCAAAGCTGGTTTGACCCCAATTTTTATTGCTTACATCTTTCACATGATTCCATTTGACTTTTTATATACATTGGATTGAACCCAACAAAACCAAAAATTTAAAAAAAAATATACACCAATTTTTGTATATATTAATAATGATATAGTACTGCAGTTTGCTGACAGGAAAACCCTAATATTTATTTATAGTTAATTTTAATAATGATAGAAACTTTATTAGCCTTTAGCTAAAATAACAGACGCTTGTGACTTGTGTCATGAAACCGCGCGGTTTTTATTTTCTGATCAATTAAGAAAGAGAGTACAATCAAACTATTTATTTTGCTTTCCCACATACTGACTATTCAGAGGAACTAAAAAGCTCCAACTAAGATTGGTAGGTCATACTTGGACCCCCCCAAAAAATAAAGTCATACGCTTTTATATGTGTTTTATGGACATACACGTTAGTTGAGGGTAGGTTTCATCACGCATTATACTTTAATAATTTGAACAGTTTAATTTTTAGATATTCTCTCAAAGATCATCTTAGTAAAAAACTACTTGAATCCGAAATCATTTGACCACTCAATTAGATGGTTGTTATTATAGTCTTTTCTTCAAGCACTATGCTTGTCTATTTTGTTGGTTCCTACTAGATGCCTTAACGATTTTCAATTTTTCTGATTTTTGCAAGAATAATTTATGAATGGATATTTGTAAAATAGATGTTTGGATTGTTGAAAAAAATCATAAGGGACCCTAAAGAGTGTCCCTAAATTTTTTTATTTTAAGAAATCCTGGGGATATAGGACTTATATATTATATCAGTGTCATGGAAAGAAACACAAATTAAGAGAATATAAGCTTGAATAGTAATAATATATAGGGAGAAGAAGGAAGAAGAAAAAAATGCAGGTAGAGGGTCAACGAAGTTGCACTAGAACCTACTGAATGGTCAACCATCTACCAATCGCATGGTGGAGTGAGATGACTGGTTGTTTGAGTGGATGGTCGGATATGAGCCTCTGGATTTTGGTCAAACCATAACGTTACAACAAACAAATATCTTCTCATATAGCTCTACAAGTTACAACAACAATACTTTAAGGAGCCAAACTTTGCTCTTATTATAATATTCATGCCATTAATTATTGTCCTCTATTTTGTTTAAATCTTATTAGGTTTTATTTTAATAAATTAATAAATTAATAATTGGTATATGAATTATTTTCTAAATCCACAAAGTAGGTAGGAGGGAGCTTTGCATTCCCCACCAACTTTTGGGTGAGTGGTTGAATAATTTTGTGGGCCAAGAAAAGAAAAGACAACGACCAACAATTTATTTTGGGCAAATGTCTATGGCCCAACTAGATTGGTGTTCCAGAGCAGCCCATCTGTACCTTGTTTTATTTACCTGGGTTGAGTGGGTCAATATCTGATTGATTCAAATCCTATTTCTTTCTTCAAAATTGACATAGTTAGAGCATGTTTTAAGAGTATAATAGCTGGTTTTGTGAGGCAGCTTATAACATGAATCAATTCAATTGTGCTGAGAATGCAAATAACAATATACTGCATGGTTATGCAGGAGGCTCTTGATGGAGCACTGGCGATCGTCACGTCAGCAGACATATATTGTGTTTGGAGATTGAAGAATTACCAGACTGATCATACTTACCAGACTGAAGGTTAATTATACTGCAGATTAATTCTTGCTCTGTCGTGCTGATCATAGTAAGTTTTCTTGATTTCATCCTTAATTAATAATAGATATGACTGCTTCAAACTATGAATATACGTACTTACGTTAAATGAATGGTTTCTAGCTTTACTGATATATACATATATCATATGTGTGTGTATCTTGATTGAATGCATATTTACTGAGAGAGAAAAAACTTTTACTCTTCGTCATCGTATGTTCTTACTATAGTTGAGTCTAAGAGCAATGTGCATGGAGAATGCATGGTAGATACATAACAAAATCCCTCTTGGCTCTAGTAGTATCTTTTTTCTAACACATAAAACACACCTCATATCTCCTAAGATTTCACTCTCGCTATTTAAGATTGACCCTCCTTGATAAAATTTCTGGCTCCGCCATTGGTAATTATAATGGCTCAAATTTAAGCTAACTGTGGTTATGCACTAAGGTCATGTTTAGTGCATAGGATTATATTGGATTGATTAATTAATTCCAATTATATATACTCTACTTTAAGGTATGAAGGTCAACTTTCACATTTTGTTCAAAGTACAATGAATTAGTCATGAAAGAAACTTATCCATTTTCAATCCCCCAAAACGGTAGGATTTCAACACCTTATAACTTAT